TAATAATAATAATAATAATAATAAACATAAACACTATGTCAAAGAATTAGTAGAAAGGATAAAGAATGTAAGCCATGGAATACGCATTGATAGGGAAACCGAATCGAATTTCCCATCGGCATACTCAGACTCTCAACTACAGTGGACAACATTATACCTCGTTTACTCCCACAGTCCCTCTCTCTCTCTCTTCCATCATTTACGTCTTTCTGAAATAAGAACAGCAGGAGATCAACCCAAGAGTGATGAGAAAAGAAAAAAAGAATAGCCTCACAACTCGCTCTGAGATTCCTTCCACGATGTTCGCAGCACTTCTGTTAAGACCTCCACCATTACACCCAACTCACGCTGAACGGCATCATCCGCAGCATGGATGACTCTCTGAATATCGCTACGAGGGAATAGGGGGCACTGTGAAGATTCCCCATTATCATTTCGACATTTATCCCCATCTCTCTGCTTGTTAAGATTGCACGCTTTTGCAGTGGGGGCTATGTACGATGCCGCCCATGGCAGTGTTACCACACCGCTGGCAACGGCGAGCGCCACACCAAAAATTGGATGTGATTCCATCCAACTGAGTAGAGTAGTGCGTAGTTCAGCGAGACGAACAGAATATATCGAATGATGAGAGTGATGATTCTGGTGATGAGAGGTAGTATTCGTGTTATTATTATTATTATTATTATTATTATTATGAATGGCGTTCCTTTCTTTTCCTTCCTTATCCTTCCCCTTCTCCTCACCATGATCACTATCCACGTTTATCACAATAAGAAGAATTTGTTCACTGGCCATCAGAAGAAGTTCAAGTTTCTCCTCAAAACTCTGCGTGATACCCTTCTTCTTACCATCAAAATCATTCTTATCATTATTATTATTATTATAGTAGTATGCCTCCTTCATATCTGTATGCGCAATGGTGAGGAGTTCAATCGCGACAGTCCACCATCGTGGTGCCTCCACACACACTCCACACACTCCAAGTACGGTGAGTTCCATGTGAAGAACATCCCGCAGCTGAAGTACGGCGTGGTGGCGGAAGAAGGAGTGCTCGAGAACCGCAATAAGAGCCACAACGTTGGCGTCCACATCTGCGAACTTCCAGCAGGCCAACAAACACGACGCCATGAGAAGAAGATGTTCACGCGGGTTTAGGGCCGCAAAGGTGTTGGGATGCCCATCAAACGTCACAGCCTGCGCAAATGTTGAGAGCAGCTGCAACGCCATCAGCGGCACTTCCACCGCTCGCTTCCACGAGAAACTATAGTTTTCAAGATCGAGAAGAAAACGGAATCCCATGGATAACATCGTTGCGGCATGTTCACGGTGTTGTTGCAGAAACCATGAGAGCGCCATAATTCGTTTTCGCTGTTGTTGTTCCTGCGCTCCTGCGAGAAGAGGAAAATGAACGTTTCCAGTTGGAAAGAGACGTGTCTTGATAAAATCAAACGCCGCACCTAATGAATGGCAACTGGAGGATGTTGTCTGCGCTGCCATGGCCATCTCATCACTGTAGGCGAGAAAGGTTGTTAAGAGTGTTGGTGAAAGGTCTGCTGCGGTGTTTACTGTGAAAAGACTGTGCATCATCAATGCAGATGAGAGTGAGTCTCCCACCATCGTCGTCGTCATTACAGGCGAGAGACGATCGTGTGGTGTGGATTGCACCGGATGCTCACCGCGGTGCTTTTCAATAGCAGGAAAAAGAAACACTTCCGTTTTGTCTTCAAATCCATAGTTTCCCAACCAATGGAAAGAGGCATGAGGAGACTCTTGGGTGCCAATGGCAGGCACAAGAGAGACACTATCATCACCGTCTACTGTATCGCTATACTCATTCGTTTTATCACTGAGTACAACAGAAGCATCGGTGCATTGGCCCGTGTTGAATTTAAACACATCACCATTACGTGTCTTTCCCTCCATCACACCTTCGTGCCCATCGAAAAAGGTCTGTGATTCCCCACCTTTCGACCTGTTATTAATGATATCACACATACTTTTAATTATTTATATTACTATTAATATTATTATTATTATTATTTATGATTGTGTTATTTGTATGTTGTGTTATCTGCGGTTTGTGAGGAATGCTTAATTGGTTTTTTTTTTTCCGCGCTAAGAGACTATTTTCAGCAGAGAGACAGAGAGAGAAGAGATAGAGAGAAGTATCAAACGATAACAAATAGTAATACTAATAGTTTACATACTAATAATAATAATAAAACAAAATACAAGAAACAAGAGATGAAAAACAAAAGACTCTCTCTCTCTCTCTCTCACTCTTACACGTAGACACATACACAAGGATTTTGTGGAATGTTATTATTCACCCTTCCATTTCTCTTAGTGTAGTGTGCATATTATATATATATATATATACATATATATATAAAATTACGACAAGTCAATATAGTGTACAACAAAAGAGCAAACAAACAAACAAACAAACAAGAAAGAATTCTGTTTAGTCAAAACACAGAGCAGTGTTTTAAATGACATTCGACCATGTTCTTCTTATTTCTATCATCCTATTTCACTTTCCCTTGCTCGAGACTTCTTCCTCTTCTTACTCTTTCAAACCCGCTGTCTTATTCGATTCCAGTATGGACGGCAAAAAGGCATTACATGTAGTACAGCAAATCCATGTTCCTAGCAGATCCATCAGCACTTGCACAATAGGGGCGGCGTGTTCAACATTGGCTCCAAAGTAAAGCAGAATATATGGTAATGTTGCCCCAATCAATACAGAGAGAAATACAATCAAAAAAAGAGAAAGCGAGAGACCGACTACAATTGCCCCATTACTTCCCCACCCTGTGGTCAACTGGGTTGAAGCCACACCACTTGAGGAGCCACGACTGATGTAATCCTCATCATCCCACCATACAAAAAAACCCACGCGCAACGCCCCAATAGTCATAAGAATTAACCCACAACATAAACCCACAAGCAATTCATAACGTAATACAGCAGCGAGTGGAATTCCAACGGGATGTTCAGCATCACCGCACAGACGCCTCCATCGGCGTCCCAACAGTACTCGTGGCAGTTGAAGCAATCGCACTAAACAATTTACGAGTCGCCTGCAAAACGATCTCCCTGCTGTGGGGACTACAGGTGCTGCTGTTGTTGTTGTTGTTAAGACTGCGATGGAGCATTCCTTCTCCACAGTGGAACGTTTTCTCGCCGCCTCCACATTCCTGCCGTGTGTGTTGTGAGGAATGTTAGTCCCATCACGTGCGGCGAGGAGTGCGGTGATGACGGAGACCGCTGCCTGATTGCCGGCATTTCCCCCAGCACCAACGACCATACTTAAAAAGAGCACAATCACTACATGATTTTTAATAAGTTCCTCATACTGCTGCAGCACTAATTGCGAACCAGACTGAAGACCAAGAAGTGCGGCAAGGAGCACAAACCGTCTACGGGCTACAGTGAAAGTGGAGGAGTTTAGAAGGATCCGTGCTGAACGCAGTGATGTGGTTGTGCTGTTACTACTATTACCACCACCAACACCACCAGCACTACTACGACTACTATTACTGCCTCCTACTGATGCTGCCACCTCCAGCATATCATTCTCATTCTCTGAATCTAGTGTAGTATTACGATCACGACGGGAAATAATGCGAGTCGCATCATGCCGTAAATTACTACCACTCTCTTGACTGCCTGGAATTAAAGTGGAATTCCATGTGGCGTGCATTCGCTTCTCGAACACCACCTCCTCCTGTTTTAAGAGCCCCAATGTATACAAACCTGCAGGATGCCACAAATGACGGTATCTGCTCTCTCTTTTTTTTCTATTGGCTTTACCTCATGCTGGGATATGATAATATATATATATAT